ACGTTTATTTCATGAAAACAGTGATAAAAATATCACTTTTTATTTGTACATTGGACAATGCTTGACATTACAACTTTTTCAGTAGATTCTTGTGGAAAAATCATTGGTGGGAAGCATTGCTATTGATGCGAAGATTTTTTTCTGATCGATTGGTGATAAAGTTATTGAAATTGGTCCAGGGGCAGCTAAGTTATTAATGTTCAAAATCTTTCATAATTTTGTTACATGTTCTATTTTCGATTTTCACGAAGTGTACCCCCACGATACTTTAGTTCAAATGAAGTACGCGTGATATGAATGTTTGCACCCAATATTCTGAAATACAAATGAAGCGCTCCGACCGAATCAATCTTTATCTTTATCCGACAGGCCGAAGTGAAATCATTGGCGTTTCAATGCGTTATGCCGAGTTTAGAATCCGTAGGCCGAGTTTGGCATCAAAAAACAATGTTAGACTTTTGACAATATCTCAACGATTGATTTCTCTTTATCAAATCTTACGGTACGTACGGAAAGGTAAATACATTTGGAAGCTATCAGTTATAATAACATTCCGTTTGATGCTAAATTAGATTAAGACAGACTAAATGCGGGTTGTGCTTAATCGTAGTTAACCCTACCGTTGACGTAGGACAGACTGAAAGCTGTTCTAGTATGATTTTTTGACGTAGAACTACGTCTTTTTCGACTATACTGGAGTAAAAATCAAAAAATATGTGTGGGAAATAGTGTTAGGTTTTGAACGCTTGTAACTTTGTCATATCTTCTTCTTCTTCTTCTTCTTCTTCTTCTTCGCATTTAAAGTTTATTGCATATCGCATATTAGCTTATTGCGTGCTCTCAACTTAGTGTTCTAGATGCACTTCCACAGTTATTAATTGAGAGCTTTCGATGCCTGTACCATTTTTGCATTGATATGATTGTGTGGCAAGTCAAATCATACTTCTATGCCCAGGGAAGTCGAGAAATTTTCCAACCCGAAAAATTCCTAGACCGGACCGGGAATTGAACCTAACCACCTCCAGCATGGTCTTGCTTTGTAGCTGCGCCTTTACCGACTGAGCTAAGGGAGGCCCCTTGTAATTTATAGATGAAATTAAAATCCAAATACGCCAATCGATAGGATATTACTTAACAAATCTGCTAAAATCAATACTTTTCCAATTTTTAATGAATTTTTTTTTTTAATATTAATGATAATAATTTTATTATTTGTAATATTATCACTGTTTTCATGAAATAAACGTTTTCCCCAAACCCAGTCATCATAAACGAATACCACTTAGTTCCACATCATTCTCCTTGAACCTGAAGAGATATAAAACAGCGCTGCTTTCCTGTCTCTGCTCATTATCGCTTCGGACGGCGTGGCACTAGGTCCTGCAGCAAGCAGGACCAAGACAGCGGCTAAAGGTGGATCATGGCGTGACCATGACCACTAGACTGATGCAAATTTTGACATTTTCGCTCCACAGTGCTCAAACGGTTCCAAATCGGGTCCTGATTAGTCTCCCAAAATTTGAACTCATTTGAAAAGAAACTGACTTGGCACAAACCATTTGAAGTTTATATGGAAATTACTATGGGAAATCTTAACTTTTTGTTCATTGTCTTCTTACCTTTTTCCATATGGCACTGTTCAAAAATTCAAAAACTATACTTATGGAAAATTTTCTCAGCTTCAACTTAGCAGAATATAGTTGTTGAGCCAAACGTCAAATAAAATAGTTATTAATTGTTTAAAAGATTGATAATCTTATGGCATGATCAAGCAGCTGTTTTGTGAGCAACACTGTATCTTGCAGTGTGACATAGTAGCCATGATTTTTGTGCTCTATTACAAGCGCCAGAAACACCAATGTTGCCTGCTGAATAGTTGATTGAGCATAATCATAAGACATTAGTGGCTTGAATTATTGATAACTTTTGATGCTTACATTATATTGAAAAGTGGTTCAGGACAAAGTTGTAGCAAATTTTCTACGAGGTCAGTTATCATTTTTTAAAGCAGAGCTATATGGTAAATTGTTAGATGGATATGAACAAAACATTTGGTTTTCCAATAGTAAATAATTTCCATGTGAACTTCAAATGGTTTGTACCAAGTCAGTTTATTTTCAAATGAGTTCTAATTTTGGGAGACTAATCAGGACCCGATTTCGAACCGTTTGAGCACTGTGGAGCAAAAATGTCAAAATTTGCATCAGTCTAATGACCACCACAATGAGGAATGAGACTTGGAAAATTATGTACGTAAAACCCCCTTAACAACAAGCTTTCCCCCCTTTTAACAACAACCTTCCCACCCCTTAACAACAACTTCTCTCCCCCCCCCCTTAACAACAACCCGAAAAAGATATGACGATCACATTTTTCCGGGAAATAAATTTGAAGCAATTCGGGGTGTTCATTAACTACGTAGACAGTTTTTTGGGATTCTTGACCCCCCCCCCTGCGTAGACGATTGTCCATATATTTTTTTTAAAATGTATATGGGCTGTGGATAATTGGATTATGAACAGCCCCTTATAGGTTAAACAATTAATCATTTTGTTCGACCATTTTCCACAGAGATGGCGCTGTTCCGCTGGTAGGAAGTGATAAAAATCCCCATATAAAAATTGAGAGAAATGGGAATAATTCGCTTTCGGTGCTTAATCAGGTGAAAAAAAGGGAACGACAACCTAAAGAAATTAGTCAGGGACTTTGACGTTCAGTTTTTTTCCGGAAATTATTGTTAAACAAGCTACAATCAATAAAAAATAATTTTTCCCCATACAGTTTAACCTGCTTTACTACCAGTTCCCAGAGAGCCAAAAAAATTGAGAGAGAAAATTTACTCTCACGACCTTAATCTCTCAATGTGCCATGTATTTTATTGACACTCGATTTGTGATTTCCCTTTCACAGATTATAAAATAGTGTACCTGTCACTACAAAAGATATCTGGTACCTCTATATATGCATTTACTTTAACATTTGAAATCCCTCCATTTTTACAAATTCTGCACAAAAGATAATTTATGCCCCGCACCATACATAAAAACCGGCGGGAAATTCTGTAAGGGGTGAACTATTTTGTGTGCAGAATGTGTAAAAAACAAGGAGGGACTTCGAATAATAATCTAAATGCATATATAGGGGTACCAGACATGTTTTGCACTGCAGTGTCCTCTGTGAACAATTATTGGAAAACAGATTGTGTGTAGTTTCCGATAGATGTCACCGCAAACAACAGCAGTGACATCTGATGGAACATGAATGCAAAAGCTTGACAAAATGATTAATTTTTTACACGCAGTCAAAATTTTCAAAAAAAAATGCTTAAGAGGAGACGTACATTCGCTGAACTACCAACAACTGACTGTAAAACATATCTGGTACCTCTATATATGCAATTAGATTAAAATCTAAAGTCCATCTTTTTTTACATATTGTGCACAAAAGAAACTTTTTGCCCCGCCCCATTCATAAAAAAAACGGCGGGAAATCCTGTCAGCTGCGGTTGCACATCGTTCTGCTTGAACCTGAAAAGATATAAAACAGCGCTGCAGTCGTGCCTTGCAGCAAGCAGGACTAAGTCAGCGGATAAAGGTGGATCACGGCGTGATCACCTGTCACATAATGAGGAATGCGACTAGGATATGCAAAATATCCCCCTCCAGAGGGGCCGTCTATAACGTCAACTCAAAAAAGACATGGATTTGACGATCATTTTTTTCCGGGAAATCAATTTTAAGCAAACTACAATTATAAGCGACAGTTAGAAGATACTGAGATTATAAGTAAATACAAAAAAAATCCAAAACAATCGCTTAAGAGGAGACATACATCCGATGATATTATGTTGGTAAATTACCAACACCTGACTTTAAAACCTGTCTGGTACTATATATGCAATTTGATTAACATCCTTTTTTCCATATTCTGCACAAAAAATATGTTCTGTTCATAATAATAAGCATAATATTTAAAAATCACAACATCAATTTTGCGTGGTTCTACGTCATACTGCGGTCGTGTCTAGGACACAACCCTTTAATATTTTTTTCCTCCTCCTTCGGTGAATGGACGCTCATGTAGTCTGCAGCTCGCTGCCTGCGGGCAGCCTTTCGTTGTGTATTGGAGATCAATTTTCAACGCCACGCGCCGAAAACACTGCTGCTACTGCTACTGATGGCGACTGACCGGACAACACCCCACACGGTGATTGAATAAGCACCGTTCAGTGAGACCGGATGAATTTCTATTTTGAAATCTGTGTTAGGGAAAGTGCTTTTTGCAGGCAACCGGTGATAATTTTGATCACCATTGCAACAGTTGGACATTTGTGTAATTTTCATTAGTGACTTTTTGAAAAAGTGTTCATTTCAGCAGATGCATAGAAAAATTTCCAAACGATTGGCATGTTTAGAATAAAAATCCATCCGCTATTGACAAAGTTATATGTGGTCCTGATGTAAAAAAACGGATGGGGCCGAGTAAATTTGCGTTATGCAATTCTAAGGAGAGGGTTTGTCAAGCTTTAGTTATTGTTACATAGGGAGGGGTGAGGGGGTCCAAAATCCGGAACTGCGTATGTAATTTGTGTATCGTGCCTAATTGAAGTTAAACCTGCTACACTCAAACGCCGTTATTAAATTGATAGCTCGTTCTATGCATGTCTGATGACATTATCATCTGTTAATTGTTCAATAGAACGGATCGCTGAACTGGCAACACTGCTCCTACAAGTTCCTAAAATTTTCCAGATCAGTTCCGATCAACACAATCAACCATGACTGCGCTGTTAGAGCAGCTGCAGCGGCAGCAGCTAAATTAGTGCACAATATCTGCTCCTCATTACCTCTAAAGATTAGACAAGTTCATTGAGCAATTTCCAAAATGCGCCTTGATAGTGGCTTATCTGCTGTGGCTTTAAACCCGACAATAAACTTCAGAGAGGTACAAAAGCTGAATTACTGGTAAACATTTGAATCAGTATCGATTCCAACGCGGTGAAAAATTGAAATGTTAATATTAACGTTGCTAGCGGCAACAGCAGCAGCATTAACCTTGACCGGTCCGGTTAGTGCAAATGACCTGGAAAGCTTCTGCAATGGAGTGATAGCGGGAATATTTCCCCATCCGGATCCTCAATTGTGCTACATGTACGTGTCCTGTGCCTTCGAAGAATCTTTCCTATACCAGTGCAATCAAGGATTTGTGTTCGACGTAACCATTTCGGAATGCGTTCCCGGTAACTGGGAAGACTGTGATCGAGGGATTGATCCGGAACTGGAGCAACTGTGCGCTGGAGTATCGTATGGAGTGTTCGAATATGAAGGGAATTGCGGAAAGTTTGTATTTTGCGAACGAGGCAGACCATCGGTGATTGAGTGTTTAGAAAAGGAGATTTGGTTCCAGCAGGACGGGGCATGTGTGTTCGGAAACAGAGATACGTGTGAACCAGGAGATGCATTATGCATGGGACGGCCGGACGGGGCCGTTCCTCATCCGGACGGATGTGACATGTTTATAGAATGTGTTGGAGAGCGAAGTACCGTGGTGCAGTGTGATAGGGGAATGATCTTTGAAGAAGGCGGAACTGGTTGTGTGATAGGAAGTTTGGAGACATGTCAGTCAGTGGAGGATGTGTGCGTTGAACATGCTAATATGGTGCATCCACATCCGGAGTTGTGTGATATGTTTATAACATGTGAAGGAAGCACGGCATCACTGGAGACCTGCCAGGCAAACGAAGTATTCAGGCCGGATATCCAGTTCTGTGTTCCAGGAAATCCGATTACGTGCGTGCCTAGTAGGCCGGAAGTCGCTTGCATTGGTAGACCGGACGGAATCGTTCCACATCCTGATGAGTGTAATCAATTTATTGTGTGCACTGGGGGAAGTTCATTGGAACAAAATTGCCCTATAGGACAGATTTTACGACCGGAAGTTCCAGTTTGCGTAACAGGAAACTCGGATACTTGCGAGTTCTTAGATGAAAGCTGTGTTGGACGTCCGGACAGATATGTTTTGCAGCATCCAAACTATTGTGGAATGTTCATATTCTGCATGGGTGGCCAGGCATTGGCACTGCCTTGTCCTGGAGGCGAAATTCTGCGACCCGATATGCAGTTTTGCGTTCCTGGTGATTTGGATACTTGTGAAGCGACTGAAATCGAACAGATGTGTGAAGGACGTCCTGATGTGATCTATCCACATCCAGACCGCTGTGATCAGTACATACGTTGCAATCAAGGAAATCTGAATATCAATCAATGCGCTCCGTATATGATTGTTCAACCCGGCACAATATCCTGCGTTCCAGGAAACACGGAAACTTGTGAGCTATACGTTGACCTTTGCCGGAGTCGACCAGATGGAATCATTCCTCACCCATCCAGATGTCATCTGTACATAGATTGTCGATCAGAACAAGTGAACATTATCCAATGCCCAGAGGGTCACATATTCGATTCTTCAGAGTCCCGCTGCGTTCCAGGTAATACGGAGACGTGCGATCATTTGGATGAATACTGTGTTGATCGACCAGATGGAGTGATCTCTCATCCCAATCGATGTGATCTGTTCATGATGTGTAGTGCTGGAGTGACGTCAGTACACTCGTGCCCATGGGGAGAAATTCTTCGAGAGGATATGCAATTTTGCGTTCCCGGAGATAGAGATACGTGCCAATTTGCGCCAATTGATAGAATGTGCGACGATCGAGAAGGACCTTTGACCTATCCTCATCCAGATGATTGCACGCTTATGGTAAAATGCAACCAAGGTCAAGTATCCATTGAGCCTTGTCAAGAAGGAACCGTGCTGCAACCGGGCATTATGCAATGTGTGGCAGGAAACGCCGATACCTGTGAGCTATACATAGATCGATGTGTGGATGCTGTACAAGATGTGATTCCTCATCCTTCCCAGTGTCACTTGTTTATGCAATGCATTGCCGGTCAGACTTTAGTTGGCTCCTGTACACGCGGTATGGTTTTCATAAACGGACAGTGCGTTATAGGAGATCGAGTCGCTTGCGAGTCTTGGCAACAGATTTGCGGAAATATGGGCGACCAGATAATTAAGCATCCCAATTTCTGTGATCTGTACATTGAATGTCGCTGGGGTACAACCAGCATGCGGCCGTGTAATTCGGGGCTAATATTGCACCCGAATATGCAAGTGTGCACCCCAGGAAATCCAAATACTTGCGAGTTCAATCCCGAAGAGGAGATGTGCGTCGGTCGATCTCAGGATCGCTTCCCTCCTCCCGATCAAGAGCAGTGTGCCAATTATGTCACTTGCAGCAACGGAATTGGCACGACAGGAACTTGTGGAGATGGCACAGTTCTGAGACCACGTTTCATTGATTGCGTCCCCGGTAATGAGCTCACTTGTGAGGCCTTCCCGCATATCTGTCTCTTCCGACCGAACGAATACATACCGCATCCAACCAGATGCGATTTGTTTGTGTCGTGTATTTCCGAGATTCCGCATGTCTTACCCTGCCAGCGTGGTGAAATATTCGACCTGGATAGAGGTTTGTGCGTGCCTGGCAATGCTGAATCCTGTATATCATACGAAGGAGTTTGCGCTGGGCGCGATGATACGATCCTGGAACATCCACACCATTGCGATTTGTTCATCGTTTGCACGTCTGGAAATGCTACCGTTCATCCTTGCCCTCCGGGCGAAATTCTTGTTCCGGAGCTCCAGTTTTGCTTTCCAGGAAACGTAGAAACCTGTGAGTTACACCCGGCTCAGGATATGTGCTTTGGCAGTTCTGAGGAAATCTTCCCGCATCCGGAGAACTGTAATCAGTTCATAAAATGCGTTGGACAAAGTTCTACGATCAGCACCTGTCCGGATGGAAAAATTTACCTACCTTCTACAGGAAGTTGCGTTGCTGGGAATGCCCAAAATTGTGAGTTTTACAACGAAAGATGTAGGCATCATGAGAATGGAGTTATAGAATTTCCTACACGCTGCGACCTGTTCCTGCTTTGCAGCTCCGGATTGACCACAGTCCATCCCTGCCCGGAAGGAGAAATTCTCAACGCAGACATCCAATTTTGCATGCCCGGGGATCGCAACACTTGCACCTTCTACGATGTATCAACTACTACTACGGAACCACCGCTAATGTTGATCTGCGAAAATATCCCCGATGGTAGTTATTCCCATCCATTCCTCTGTCACCTCTACATCGAGTGCATCAGAGGACAAGTGGAGGTCCAGTCCTGTCCATCGGGTAATATCTGGATTCCGGACCAAAGCAGATGTGCTCCAGGAGATTGGGCAACCTGCACACCGGACGTACCTCCAGAAGAGATAACCAATGATATCTGTGTGCGGACTGGGATCTACGTTATACCCCACCCATTCGTGTGCTACAAGTACGTCCAGTGCGTGCTCCGAGTAGCTTTTGTAGAAGACTGTCCTCGATGGCATGTGTTCAGTGCTATATTGAATCGGTGCATTCCTGGCGATCGGGACAACTGTTGAGGTGGAAATAAAAATGTTTTTTTTTTTTTATTGATAAGGACTCTTTCATTGACTATCCGAAATAACCTCAGGAGCGTTAAAGGCCTAGAAGAAGAAACCACAAATTATGCAAAGTTTCAGTGAATTCTGCGATGATTAAACCTGAAAAAGCTGCTTCTTCTTCTTCTAGGTATTTTAAGCTTAAGGCTTATCGCATATTATCTTATTGCGTGCTCTCAAACTAAGTGTTCTAGATGCACTACCACAGTTATTAATTGAGAGCTTTCCATGCCTGTACCATTTTTGCATTAGTATAAATGTTTGGTAAGTACAGTACACAGCAAAAAAATAATTTTGATATCACGTCAAAGTGGATGCACTACAATCATGTCGAAAATATGGTGTAATATTACTTGCTAAAAAGGACAAAATTATCATTAATACAATGCATGAACTGACATTACGCTGCTTTTACTGCATTTGTTTATTTATGTGGTCATAAAAATTACATGAAATTTTCGACATGATTGTAGTGCATCCACTTTGATGTGATATCAAAATTATTTTTTTGCTGTGTAATACTCTATGCCCAGGGAAGTCGAGAAATTTGACAACCTGAAAAATCCTTAGACCGGATCGGGAATCGAACCTAGCAGCCTCCAGCATGGTCTTGCTTTGTAGCTGCGCCTCAACAGACTGAGCTAAGGGAGGCCGCAACCTAAAAATGCTGTTATACTTATTACGTGCAGGCTTGTTGTTGTGGTTATTCATGGTTTCTCCAAGAGTAACCAGCTTCAAAAACCGATTTGTTTTTTTTTTTTCGTTCAACACTAGCACTAACATCAATCTTGAAAAGCGTTAGAAAACAATTACACCTACAAATCTAACGAAAAAATGGTCTGCGTTCATTAGATTTTCATTAGACTACGGGTATAATGAGCTATGTGTCGGGAATTCAATTTTAGGTATCATATGTTTGGGTTTTTTTTCATTCTGCTAGTATTTTTAAAAGTCGTTTGAAAGTCTTCAACTTGTCTGCGTAAGATATATTTTGTTTGTTGACTGTTAAGGATTAGTTAAGTTTTATTCATATAAATTTCGAGTTTGCTGGATTAAAATAAATTAAGAAAATTTTAAAATATTCATTATTTTAACGCCAAATTAAAGGTGAGGTGATTTGCTTCCGATCAAATCAACACCATTTGTCAGTGAGATGAGTAGTATTGGTGTTGAATAATAGTTTGTTGATTTTTTCATCAAGGTAAAACACAAAAAAAAAATCATGATTTAAGTGCTTTAACTATTTGTTTTATATTGCTTCTGCGCGAAGTCAACGATGTACATATTTTATTTAAATACGTTTAATTTTCCAGGCTCCTTTGCCGTAGCTTTGCGGAGCCGATATTCATCGTTTGGGTTACAAAATTACTTACTGTGCTCTTGATCTAGAACTAAGTGACATACTGGAGAAAAAGACAAACATGGGGGTACACCGATGGGGACCTAGCAACTTGAGTGAACACAAGATGACACTAACTACTAAATCCTCACATCGATCCATTTTAAAGACACATAAATTAAATTAAAATAATCGAGATCTCGGCTGGCCAAGATGACCCTAACGGGCCGCAAGCTTTCCTCGAGCCCTTAGGGATGCGGATAACTCGGACCTAGCAACACAATGTAGGGTGCATAACCAAAGCACGTGGTCAATCTCGTGATAACCACTACCACAAGCGCACAAATTGCTGCCTGCGAGCCAGATTCGAAAGAAATGCGATTCTAACGAGCAGTGATTGGACATGAGCCTCGACATGACACGTATAAAGTCACGGCTCATGTCCAATCCTTTGAACCACGGCTTGTTCGACACTGTGGGAATGTAACCATCTTCCCAGATCACTCTCATTCCATTTTGTTCCCAGTTGGTTAGGACTTGCTGACGGGTAATTGAGAAAAATTCCGCAAAGGCGATTTGTCGATCAAAAATATCGCCTTCCATAGCGCCTACTTTAGCCAACGAGTCCGCTTTCTCCTTACCCGGAATAGAGCAATGAGATGGAACCCAGACTAATGCGATGGTATAGGAGCAGTTAGATAAAGTACTCAATTTAGCTCGAATTTCGGTCAGGAAATACAAGGAGTGCTTTATCGGCCTCATTGATCGAATAGCCTCCAACTAGCTAAGGCTATCAGTAAAAATAAAATAGTGATGTAATAGTGATAGATGTGTGTTTTTGCTACGAATTTGAAGCAAAATCTGCCGTACTCTAGAACTGAAAGGATGGTTCTTCGGTACAACCTGGTCAGATCTTCCGGGTGTACTCCCCACCAAGTTCCAGTAATTGTACGAGGAAAATTTGATTCTTTGTTGGAATTTTTGTTTCACATACGCAATATGTTTTCCCCACGTGCTTTTGGAATTGAACACCTAAATACTTGAAAGATATAATTTGAGTGATTGTTCTACCCTTTAGTTGAAGCTGTAACTGTGTAGGATAATGCTTTCTAGAAAAAACAACCATCTCAGTTTTCTCCGGAGATACCTAGCTTCATAGCTCAAGTAGACAAATTGTCGAAGGTATCTTGCAATGGTCCTTGCAGGTACGGTGACAACGCCATCATCTGCAAGCTGCCTTAGCGAGCAATTTTCATCAAGACAACCATCAATAGCTGTTACACAAAAATTATACAGAATGGGGCTTAAACATGAGCCCTGGGAGGCACCCATGCAACTAATTTGAGGTTGTCGAGTTTTCATGAGAAAAGGTCATATATTTCTCAGACAACAAGTTGCTCAAACAGTTGTTCATTTATTTATTTAATTTGTTTTTCTTCATCGGACTTAATGTGTCTAAATGAAGCCTGATAGGGAAAAGCCTATAAAAGGCGTTAAAACCCCATATCTTTCCGAAATACATGAATCACAAGAATACAATACAATTACAACGAACATTAATCAAGTCTATAGCATAGAAAAAGGTAGAAGTCCTCGTCATGCAGTTGAACCGGAAACAAAAAATAAACAGGTAGCACAATCCTTCACGTGTACATTAAATGGACAGCTACTCACCTTCTCAGGAGTCTGCGTTGAATACGGTGACGAAAGGTTTCCGCTGCACAGTTAAAGTCGAAAAACTCGTAAAACTCGTTGAAACGCCCAGACATGAACCGTATTGAGTCATGCAAGCTGTAGTTCGCAGCACGAGGTCCAAGATGCAGGAAACTCCTCGACCGAAGAACTCGTTTTGGTGCGTAGATTTCGAATTCAGCCAAGATTCCTGGAGAGTCGATATCACCAATAAGTACTTTCGCTGCGAACACGGCCTGACTAATCATCCGCCTATGTTCTAGTGTTTCATGACAACGATCTTCGTACGGCGGAAGGTTCACAGGGTCATTCCAAGGAAGATGACGAAAGGCATACCGAACAAATTTCCTTTGAACAGATTCAATCCTCGCTATCCAAACTGCTTGATACGGGCACCACACAACCGAGCTGAATTCCAAGATCGATCGCACTAGAGAGCAGTATAGAGCTTTTAGACAGGCAGGATCGCGAAACTCGTCAGCGATCTTGAAAATGAACCCGAGTTGCCTGTTAACTTTCGCAACGATGCCCGAGTAATGAAGCTTGAATGTTAAGGCGCAGTCCAGCGTGATTCCTAGGTCACGAACATTGTCCACACGTTGCAGAAGTTGGTGATTTATCGTATAGTTGAATGCCACTGGTTTCAGCTTGCGATGAAATGAGATAAAATTACATTTTTGTACATTCAACGTGCGATAGTTTCTTGAGCACCACTCTTCGAAAGTATCGATTAGGTGCTCAAGCTGCAAGCAATCGGCGAAGATACGAACAATTACATAGATCTTCACATCATCCGCGTAGAACGATCGGCAACCAGTTGGGAGGATTAGTCCGGCCTCATTCACAAAAATCGAGAATAGCAATGGTCCCAAGTTGCTACCTTGAGGAACACCGGAGCACACACAGGTCCAGGACGGCTGCAGGACGATGACTGGATTAACTCGACTGTGGCGGGAGAAGAAGGGGCTTCCGTAGTGCCGACTTCAATGCGTCCCAGAGTGTTCAGGTGACAGGCGGGCGAGGGATGGTTGAAGGTTGGTATAGCGCTAAAACCAATGGACGGATCAGGAGCGGGACAGATCATACTTGCCTTGAATTGCAGGTTGGAAGACCCCTTCTCCAAGCCCACACACAGGTCCGGGACGACTGTGGGACGATGACTGGAATGAATCGACTGTGGCGGGAGAAGAAGGGGCTTCCGTAGTGCTGACTTCAATGCGTCCCAGAGTTCTTAGGCGACCGGTAGGTGACGGATGATTGATGACTGCTAATGCGCTGGAACCAATGAACGAATTAGGAGTGGTACTGGTCGAGAAACAGATGATGCTTGCCTGACGTAACAGACTAGAAGACCACCTTTTCAACTCACACACAAGGCCGGGACGACTGTAGATCGCTGGCACGAATGGCTCGACTATGGTGAGGGAAGTGGCTTCCATGGTGCGTCCCAGAATGTTTTTTAACTTCACTATTTCTGGTCCATTGTTGGGGTGTCCGTTTTGGGTGTTTGCGTATTTGGATCCAGTTTTGTCAGCTTCGTTGGGTGTTGAGATTTTTGTGCACCAAAATTTTCGAACTCGCGGAACATGATGCCCTCGGGCCAGGTTGTAGTATCCAGTGCCTTAGTCTTCAATCTTTTGTCGATGCCAACTTTGAAGGATACGAATGACAGCGTGCTGACGTCCTTTGCCTTGGGTACAAGTTTTATGACAACAGGGTTGTCATCTGTTTCCAAATTCATTCATAATTGGTGAAAGCCCACTATCGTGGAGTATATCCGAAAGGACGTCGATACAAACAGAATCAAAAGCCCCCTTAATGTCCAAGAAAACTGAACCCATCTCCTGTTTTTGCGCATAGGCCAGTTGAAGTTCAGTTGAAAGCAACACAAGACAGTCGCTCGTTCTTTTGCCTCTCCGAAATCCAAATTG